CGGAGCGCGCGCTCCGCCCGTGGCGAAGCGGTAGGAGCGAGGGCGGCTCGAGAGACGAGGGCCGCTTCCCTCTGGTGCCTTCCGACCTTGTTTCCTCACTAACTAAGCTCGCGGCGGGTTGATTCTAAAAGAGACACAAAGCTGGCTAGGGCCCCGCAGAGTCCGGGTATGTGGATCTAAGAAATCGAAAACCGCGCGTTTTTAAGACACCCTGCCTCCCCGGAGTCCTCTGCTGGCCCGCTGTCTCGACCCTAGCGGGGGCCGAAAGAAAGGTGCCCGGAGCCACAGTCACCGCTGTCACGTCCGCCCTGCTAGGGACCCATCAGCGACTCGCTTCCTGTCCCCGGGTTCGGCTTGCCCTTTAGCCTGGAGGAGGGGCGGTGGAGATCCCCGGGACTTCCATCGCACTGACGCGGGTGCCCAGCCCCAGGCCTACCGGCCTCGTCGCCCTGCAGAGTTCGGGCTTTGCACCAACGGGAACTAGAACTGAACCCTGCTGGATGCCCTGCCAGCTGCTGCAGAGTCCCTGACAGCCCAGGGCTGAGTGTCCTCATGGTGCACAAGAGACGCACGGTTCAGGCTGGCTCGGGTTCCACAGGGCCCAGCCACGCGCCCTCTCGTGGCCAGAGCGAAAACAGCACCCGACGGGCGCGCAAGGGGCCTGCGCACCTGTGTCAGGGTCACCTGGCAGCTGGCGACCTAGGATAGGAGGCTGGGTGCCCGCGCTGCGTCCTGGCAGCCCTGTTCCCGGGCTCTCACTGGCCTCTCCGCGTTCCGACGCTTAGTGATCGTGGAGTGTGTCCACTGCCTCACCAGGAACACTCCTGGAGTTGGGATGCGGCTTTGCACTCTGAACCTGAGAGTGTGTGTCAAGGAAGAGCGAGCAGGGGCGCCCCGAGCCCGTGAGCTGGGGCCAGCAGTCCAGACTTCCAGGTCTCCCCACCTTCTGAGAAGTCGCCCCCCAAGGTGTCACTGCCCAGGGCCCCTTGCCCTCTTTCCTCCTGCAGTGGTTTGGTGCATCACAGGAGATGTGTTCTTACACAGGGAGGGGCTGAGACCTCGGAAAGACCTGGGTGTGTGGCAGAGGTGCTGCTGCCTGGCTGCACTGTGGCCTTGACGTGCTGTGTAACTCTGAGCTCCTCCCAGCATGAGGATAACAGAACCGGCTCCCATGACACCTCCCTCAAGGCCAGCTGTTGCTCTCCCTGACACCCTGTTCCCAACAAACTGCTAAGGTGGCAGCTGGCTATCTTCCAGAAGGAAAGTCCATCCAGTCTTTCCCTGTCTGAGCAGCATTTCCTGAGAGTTGAGCCTTTCTGTCTCCTCCAACATAGCACTGTGCAGGAGGAATCCTTAAGTGGTGCTGACCGCCTGCCTAGCACCAGGTGAACTTGCAGATCTGCACAGCCACAGCTGTGGGGTCTGGTGACTCTCGGAAGGGCTAGGTCGTGAGCCTGAGTGGAGGAGAAGTGTGAACACCCCAGCAGGGATGGCATAGGTGCCGGCAGAGCGGGGTGGGTGGTGTCCTCCTGGCTGCTCCTCGCGGGCCTTGGTCAGCACTGGGAGGCTTTTCTCAGAGAAGGGACCGGGACATGGAAAAGACCCCTGTGGCTGTGGCAACAAAAATGGCCTGCCAGTGGGGTGTGGAGATGGGAGGGTCTTCAGGGGCACAGCCTGGGAGTAGGATGGAGGAGAGATGGGCAGAGGAAGGGAAAGGGGAACAGAAGAAACAGTCAGGGAACAGGGAAGAGCAGGAAGCCAAGGAGAAGCGTCCAGAGGGAAGGGTGACAGGAAGGTCAGGGAAGATGACGGCCACAGTGTATTTATCCGAAGTAGCCACCAGAGGCCAGCAGGCTGAGGACGTGGGAGGTGGATGGAGAGAGCGGGGAAGGCAGAGTTGGCCGGGAGCCCGGGCTGTGCAAAGCAGTGGGCAGGAGTGGGGTTGGGGCCGGGGCACAGGTGGGTGAGGAGTGGGTCCCCGGAGAGGGCGTGGGTGAGGGGCTGGGGACAGGTTGAGAGGTGAGACCCAGACACGTGAAGGGGATGCACTGCAGGCCCCAGAGCGGAGCCTCTGCCACGCAGGCTCGTTCCAGGCTGGGGGTGCACCTCTCCGGTGGCCTTCCTTCTAGGCGACACAGAGCTTGTTGGGACAGTCCCCAGGGGCAGCAGCCCAACAGCTCTAGCAGACACAGATGCCTTATCTGCCCTGAGCGCAGATGAGTCCAGAGAGGGTCCATGAGTCTGCACTCCCCACCCCACCCTGGCCACCAGGCCATCCCAGCCTCCTGCTCCCCTGGGCAGAAACAGTGCACACTGGGGGAGGGGGCGTGTCTGGCCGCACCCTCCACGGCAGCTGGGGTGCCACCACCGGAGGGAGGGCCGGACGTCCCAGGAGGGGCCCCAGAGATGGAAGAGGGCAGGGTGCCCAGGGCCAGCCAGGGACCTCGAGGTGCGGCCTCCATCCCCACCCTGGGCCTTGGCCCCGGGCCTTAGGCAGCAGATCTGGCGTGGAGCCCACCCTGCTGCCAGGCATTGGTCAGCTGGCCCGATGGAGTCACGGCTGCCCTGCCACTCCTTCTGCAAACAGCCCACGAGGAGCCACACCTGAGTGAGGCCTGTCCTAGAAGCAGCCAGGGACCTTGCTCCTCCCTTTCTGCTGCCAGGAACTGAGTGAACTCTCCCCTCCCCCAACCTAACAACCCGGCCTTCCGTAGACACTTCCTGGACGGAGCTCAGGACAGACCCACCCATGTCCTCTCCTGGTTGGCCAAGGAGTTTGGTAAGAGCAGGGAACTGAAGCCAGGGTGAGGGTCAGGGAGTTCCTGTCCCTCCTCCAACAGCCCTCGCAGGTGACTTAGCCTATACTTAGCTGCCTTCTTCATGCCTGGTCTGACCTTTTCTCCAGTGACTCACACAGCCCCAGGACCTGGCTTGTGAGAGAGCAGGTTCTTGGACCCGCATTCCTGGGCACTTAGGGCTCTGGCCACTATCCCCCGCCAGGCCAAGGAAGCCCTGGAGCAGGATCCTTCTTCACCTGGGTCTCTGGCCCTGTCAGCCCGAGGCATCTCCCCATCCTCCTGCTGGATTGTCTCTGCCCTTCCTGAGATGGATGTTGATGGTCAGTGCTGGGCCCTGGGGTGCAGGCCCCAGGGTGCAGAATGAGTCAGGATCCACACCAGGGTGTTGGGGAGATTTGGGGCTGGGACTGGGGTGGTGAACAAGGGGACTGTGGTTGAGGGGAGTATGAGGCCCTGGGGTCCAGAGGCATCAGAGGTCTTGCTTAGATGTGGGAAGCTCTGTTCCCAAACCGAGTTGGGTCTGGTGCTGGGTAGGGTTGGGGAGCTGCTCTATAGCACAGGCGAGGTTCAAAGCCCCTGACCAGCTCAGCCCTGGCTCCTGTGGGTACCCACCCTGCATCCTGTCCTTGGCCAGAGAGCAGATCTGGGTCCCTGTGTTGTCCTGGGAAGCAGAGGGCCAAGGGCGCCACCCCAAGGTGCATCCACCCCAGCCCCGTGGACAGGCTGGCCTGGCTACCAGGAGAAGAGGCATTGTCCTGGGGCACAGATAAAAGTGTATCATTACAGTCAAGACATCTGATGTAGTCAGTGAGTAACACAGCTTCCTCTGCATGTTGTATTTTTGCTGGGACACAGACATGTCTGACTGGTGACCACAAGCTGGAAACGGCCAGCCACTTCCTCCCGGTCACAGGCCTTGGCCTGTTTGAATGTGTGGGTGAAGGTGTCAGCTGCACCTGGGCTGAACCTCACTGTGAACCCTGAACATTGGCTAACAGGAAAGCTCCTGTCTCTGTACTGCTAGCATCTGGGTTTCTTCCTGTGTTCTGTCCTCCGTGGTGTGCTGACCACTGAGTGTCCTCCTGCTTTTGCATTCTTTTTCCTTTCTTTTTCTCTTTCCCTTCCCCTTTCCCTTTCCCTCCCTTTTCCTTCCTCCACCTTCCCTTTCCTTTTCCTTTTCTTTTTCTGTCTTTTAAAGCCGGCCTTGCTGTGTAGCACAGGCTAGGCTCAGACTGTCCCACTTCAGACCCTCCTTCCAGGGCCTGCTGAGTTCTGGGGTCACAGACCGGCACCCTACGCCTGCAGAGCACCCTGCTGTTTCCCTTGCATATTCGTGTGGTCAGGGTACAGCAGGTGCGGAGCACACACTGGGAGAGCCCTGGCCTCGGGCAGCTCACTGTCCAGGAGCAACTGGTCAGCAAAGCCCAGTCAGGCCCAGGCTGGTGCGGCAGCTCACTGTCCCCTCCCAGATCTGGGCAAGGGAGTCTGAGAGCCACTCCCTGGGGGAGGACGGGGACCTCCCAGGGCCCCTCCAGATCCAGGTTTTCAGTGATAAGCTTTTTCCTCATCGATGATAATTAGTCTATTCAAGTTTTCTATTAGTCAATTTTGATCATTTTGTGTTTTATTAGGAAAGTATTCATTTTTTCTAGATTTGTAAAATCTCCATTTAAAAATATAGATTTCTTTGGAGCCAAGGAAATGATTTTTCTAAGCTTTTCATAGACATAAAACATTGTGAATTCTCTATTTAAGGAATGTAAGTTTTCACATGGATTGAATTTGTTGATTATATTAATTCAAACTTTCATATCACTTTTCATTCTTGTTTCTTTTTCTTTTTCTTTCTTTTTTTTGGGGGGGGTGGTACCAGGGATTCAACTCAGGACCTCTCACTTGCCAGGCATCATCTTTGTTTCTGATAGATAGAGGTTTTTTTTAAGTTTCCACTCAGATTTTATCTATGAACTCCTTGTGCTTTTCATCACTTTTGCTTTCTACATTTAAGTGCAACGGTGTTGGGAGCACAGAGATTCCAGCTGCTCTCTTATCACAAGCTGGCCACCCTCTGTTTCCTGTGCCAGTGTTTCAATTTCAAAATGGTCTGGTATCTTTTGGGGTCTTTTATTTTCAGCCATAGTCACTTTTTTCTTTTGCTGCTACTGGGGAAAGAATTTGGCCTTCATACTGAGCTACATCCCTGGCCCTTTATTATTTTTGAGACAAGGTCTTGCTAAGTCACTAAATTGCCCAGGCTGGGTTTGAACTTGGGATTCCCCTCCCTCAGTCTCCCATAGTGCTGCGTTTACAAGTATGTGCCACCATTCCCAGCCATAATCATTTTTTTAAAAAAGCTGTCCCCTCCTATGCCACGCCCCAGTGCTGGGGGATGAACTCGGCCTCAGGCATGCTAGGCTTGCATTCTACTACTGAGTAACATTCCCGCCCTTTTTATTTTTTATTTTGAGACAGAGTCTCACTAAATTGCCCAGGCTGACCTCTAACTTGTGACCCTCCTGCCTCAGCCTCCCAAATAGCTGGGATTTCAGAGATGCGCAACTGTGCACCCTACCTAGAAAGTGTATTTTTATTTGTTCTGTGTACATGTACAGTAAGATACAGTTTACGTGCAGTACTTGTAAACCCAAGGTCTTTGTCCCTTTGCCCATTTATGCTGAAGATTGCCATTTTTTTAATTTAGCATGAAATTCATATATGTTATCTAGAAAAACTAAAGGAACCAGAATTTGAAAAGAAAAAATTGTATTATCTTCCACTGTTATGGGCATTCCAAAAATGAAACACTAGGCACGAAAGGATTAAAAGAGACAGTTTGGCTACATTTCACTGCGCAGCAGTGTCCTGAATGTGCTTCTGCTATTTCCATGTATCGGTCGGCCCGTGCCTTTCCCCTTCACTTGGGTTGCTATTGATTCCCTGTCTTGCTCTGTGCTTCCTTCATCAGTGGCTTCTGTCTCACCAAACGCACGTTAGCCCACCCCAGGTGGGTTCTCGGATCGGTTCTCCTCCACACACCCCTCTGCAACTCACAGAACCTGCCGGTCCGTACATTCGGTGTCTTGGTTACTTTTCTTGTTGAGGAG